GTTCAGGCTTTAGCCATATAACATTATAGCATTTTCTCTTCGTTGCAGTCATCATTCATATGCACATGCAGATAGAGGAGAGCCATCGAAAAACAGCTTTCCAAGTTTTGAAAGCAGAGTTCAATTTTGCAAAATATGTATGTAATGTCTCAAGGCCGGGGGAAAGGAAGTCACCGAGCCAAATGCATGGGGAGTTGTAGACACTATAAATAAATAAATAAATAAATAAACCACATAATATTTTGAAAGTGCAAAGTACTTCAGCCTGGATGTTTTTCAAAACCTTTTTGTCAGTGATCAACATGGAAATAAAACTTTATTTTGTCCCGGACCTTTGATTATGTGTTTTTTTTTTTCCCCCAATAGACTGCGCTTTCCATATTTCATTACAGTTTCTGAGAGGGGGAAAAATCACCTCTGAGCTTGAGGACAGTGAATCTAAAAGTGTTGGGGGCCTGCAGCTCCTACTGAAGTCAAGATTAGACCCATAATATAACGGTGGTTAGAAGAGTGAGTCTGTAAAAATGATATCTTGAGGTTCCATATTTATTTTCCATTCATGGCTTCCATGTCAGCAAACATGTCCAAACGTGAGTTTTCTAATGGTTAGCCTTGCACACTCAGTCTGCTATATGAGAATCAGGCTATTGTTTCTGCCAAGCACATCACCACATTTGATAAAGTATCAGAACATAGTTTAAAACTGAGGGTCTAATGCTGCAATCTCTATGCGAGTAGAACTCTTGTTAACTTCACTGGAACGTGTGTGTGTGTGTCAGGGGCAGAGTAGAAGGGGAAGGAGGGTGACAAGATGGGGAGGCCCTAGATTCAAGAGCCAGAATTTGTTTATCCGTAGTGAGATTGCCTCTGCAATGCAGATAATAATAAAAATAGGCTTCAGTGTGTAAACTAAGGCTATGTCTACATTACGGACCTTACAGTGGCACAGCTGTACTGTCTCCTGTGTAGCCGCTGTATGCTGGTGGGAGAGATCTCTCCCTCTGGCATAATTAAACCACCCGCAACGAGCGGCAGTAGCTATGTTGGTGGGAGAGTGTCTCCTGTGGTGACGACGCAGGAAAGGAAACAGAACGCCAGGTTTGTTGGTAGCCAGAGAGCTTTACAAGCCTCCTGCAAAAAGCCTCCCAGGAAAACTTTTCCTGGGGTTTTTATTATCTCCTTACTTTGTTTACAACTCTTCTTAGTGGTTACATTCTTGCCCATTCAGAAGGCAGGCAGTATACATGAGCATGAAATTACAAACCCATCTTTTGAGCGCGTGGACACCAGCTGCAAAGATGATGTCATTGTTGCCAATAAGTTTTCCAAACATAGGCGCTAGGACAAGGTCATTCCTGCCTCGTTACCAAGGGAACAGTTTGCCGTTCTCGTGGGCATACGATTCGGGAACAACACATTCCTACATCTCCTGCTGACATAGCCCTGTCCACAACGGCACTTTTGTCGACAAAACTTATGTTGATCAGGGTTTTTTTTTCCCACACCCCTGACCGACAAAAGTTTTGCTGACAAAAGTGCTAGTGTAGACAAAGCCTAAGTAGATATGGCGGAGAGCATGTGTAACCCACACACCTCCTGGGTGTGGTGTTCTGGCCTATCTAATGGCACTGAGACCACATAGAGAAAGAGAGAGAGAGCTAAGACTGTAGAGCAGACTCATTTTAACAGCCAGTTGGCTTTTACCTCATGCTGTAGACTAGAGGCTCATGCACAGAGGTCCCAGGTTCGATCCTGCCTGCCGACAACCAGGGTTTGTTGTTGTTACACATGCACAACGAACTGATATTTATATTAGCAAGTTGCAAGTTTTACAAATTTCTGACCATAAGTGCACTTTAAAATAGTAAGTTGCTAACCAGGGGCCTCTGTAGCACCAGGTATGGCTTGGTACAGAGGGGAGCAAAATTGCAGAGAAAACTGTGGTGGAAACCGTGGGATTCTAGCCTCTAGACTTCTCTCTAGGTTAAAAAAAACCTCACCTGTCTAATGGGCTGTGAAAAAAGTAGCCAAAAGAAGGAGCAGGAGCCACTCTGAGCCACAAACTCTGCAGGAAAATATGTGGCAAGCGAATGCTGCATATAGCCAATTAATTGTGGCTCCCTCTCTCTTTCCCCTTTCCCCCACCTCCTTAGTTGGGTAGCCGAACAGTTAGCACTCAGAAGGTAATGTTAATGCAGCTACTGTCCCAGCCGTGCTGTGATAGGAGGCTGGAAACTAGTGAAGAAGAAGAATCCCACCGCATAGCTGTCTCGGGATCTTCGTGGTTGAGGGGGATGAAACCACTGCAGATACATGGCCTCTGTGTCGTTTTCTGGCTCTGTCTGTGGCTGGTTCACTCCCCTGGTTGGTTCTGTGACAGCGGGGCAGAATGTGTGGCCCCCACAGCTTTGACAGTGGTGAAGAGTTCTTGAATTAATTTGTTCCCTTTCACATGGATTAGCCACATGAGGGGGAGTGTGTGGGCTAAGATGTCAGAAATCAAGGGCCAGATTCTGCAGTCCCAACTTAGTCCTCACACAGGCAAACAAACCCGTTGAAGCTAGTGGGAATGTTGCTTGACTAGAAGATTTGGCCCTTAAAAGTCAAAATAGAGGAAAAATAATGGAGATGACTAAAGTTATAGCTTTCTAAATCCCTTGGGAAAACTGTGTGGAAGATTAGCCTTCTCAGAGACCACTGATTAATTTAACACACGGATGGACAAAACACTAAAAATATATGTATTAGGATTGTCTCCTGTACTGGTTGGGGGCTGGACTAGATAAGATGATAGGTATGGACTAAAGCCATGGACTGCCCTCCCACAGAGAAGCACACAGGAGAAAAGGGCGGGAAAGTGTGTTGAGAGATGCTGAAAGTTTAAAATTTATGAAGTTCCTACCAGATTTCCCCCCCAAGAGTGGAAGGTTTCAGGGAGTAGCCTCTAAATCCTATGGATTCCTTTAGCCACTGTGCGGTTTGCTGCTGGACAGTCTTTTCCCCCCAGGATAGCAAGACTCCTGCAGGAATTATGCTTTCATTGGCCCTCCCCTAAATGACACACAAACTGCCTCGGAAAGGAATGCGGTATCAGTTATTACTGAGGACTTGTACACTGCTGGAGTTGGAACGGAGCTTACCAAGTTATGTGTTACTCCTTAGCTCATCCAGTCCTGTATTCAGACACTCCTTCTGAAATCCTACTCAGGGTGAGACAGGAAATCATTCTATGAATTACAGTAATATTCAGCCTTTATATAGCGCTTTCAGCCACAGATCTCAAAAGACTTTTCAAAGGTGGGCCAGCATCATTGTTCCCACTTTTACAGATGGAGAACTGAGGTATAGAGAGGTGAAGTGGCTTGCCCAGGATCAGTGGCAGAGATGGGAACGGAATCCAGGCCTTCTGACTACCAGGCCAGTTCCTTGTCCTCTGGGCCACTATACGCCCTTTAGTAGTGATTCACTTTAGTACCTGGGCCTTTCGTTGAGCCCACTTTATAATAATGAGTTTTTTGGATTATCTTATTGCACTATTAAACTAAAGTGCCCCATTAAATGCAGGGAAAAGGTAACTAGAGCGCTGCATTTATATGGTTCAGCAATTTTGCTTTGTGCATATTTGTTATATTTTTTACCGCGTCAGTCAAAATTGCAGAAATCAGTTAACATGGGGTGTAGCAAAAAAGGGTAATTAAATATCTTTATAGGTTACATTGTGATTTGTTGAAGAGTTTGGTGTTTACTTATAACATAGTTGACTTCAGCTAAAAGTTGAGCTAATCTAGTCCTAGAATAATGCAATTTATTTTCTTTTAATATCTATTTGATGACATCTTGGTGGGGGTTAGACTAGATGACCCTTGCCGCCCCTTCTAACTCCATGTTTCTATGATAATTGTAACCCTGCTCACAAAAGGAAGCATCTAAAACTCCTTTTTTAAAGTCAAGTTTGCTGATTTATATATTTTTTTAACATGGGTCCTAGTTTTAGTTCTTACAGCACTGATAAGCAGTGCTGTACTTCTTTGGGTCTAAACACCGTATGTGCTGAATATTGATTACCTGTATAAAGCTTACTTTAATAGACTGCCATGTGTCAAGCTAAGCTACAGCCAAGAGCTTGGAAATACCTATGTTCCTTGCAGACCAGGATCACTGTAGTCAGGGTACCTTGAAGTGGATGCATGTAGAATTTTACCCTCTTGGAAACCTCTGGGTTTCTTAGGTTTATGTCACAAACATGAAAACTCTAGGAATACGGTGAAGCGATACAATGGATATAAAATGACTGAACGATGAGTCAGTGCAGATGACAGTAAAAGTAATCAGTGAAAGGCAGAATAACTAAACATGCTTTTTGCATGGCTTTCCATTTTCAGGGTTGTCATGCCAAGAAAGTGTTCCCGTTATCAGTCACTAGCAATCACATTTGCCTTTCTCTGTGGTTTTCAGAGAGTTGTTCCAATACGCTTTTGTTTGAGTTACGTTTTTAAACAAACAAAATGAGAGCTGTTTACATTAATAAGGCAAGATGGACTAGGAGAGGTAATTCGTTGCTGTATATTAGGGGTATTGAGAATGCTGAAGATTAAAATTTGGCTTCTACAGTAACATGATGGTTTGTCTCAATTCTGCTACATGCTTCCAAGCTGTTCAGGACAAAGGAAAAAAATCCCGCCTTTTCCACCCCCACCCCCCTTCAAGTCCATTAAAATTCTTACAGGGTTTTAAAAAACGTGGACCTTCCTGTCAAAGCAGCAGACTAGACCATGATGCTGATTCTGTTTAAAAGCAAATGTGCTTGTCTCTGGTGTTAGCATTTCCTTAAATTCCTCAGGAACTCATGCATGCAAACCTGATTTGATGAGCTTCATGAAATGGCCTGTGGATTGCTAATGCTGCTGTGCTGCAGGCTCTTCTTCAGGTGAGAAGTGTGGCAGGTTTCTGACTAAGCTTTTTATGGCATTTGAAGTTTATGACTCTATTGTTTTATTCAGGTATTCGTGCGAGGAGAGCTGAAGTAATGAGAAGTCATCATGGAGGCCCAGTCCCATAGCTCTGCCACAACCGAGAAGAAAAAAGTTGAGAATTCCATAGTGAAATGCTCCACTCGAACAGATGTCAGTGAGAAAGCTGTTGCCTCCAGCACAACTTCCAATGGTGAGTAACAGCAGGGATTTACTAGCAGCGAAACCTACAGTAATTTTATGTTCACTGCATTCCTTGTGAATTGAGCATTTGCACCTGGATCTGTGGTTGTTCTCAGGAAAGACTAAAGAAAGCAAACAGGAGAAAAAAGTGGATAGGATATAATAAACCCTGTTTTGGCTTCAGACATAGTCTTTTTCTTCCAAATTTTCTAATTTAAGATGTAAATCTGCTAAGTTATTTATTATAGGAAGTTCCTGTTTTGGCATTTTGGAAATCATCTTGATTAGCCTGGCAAGCATTGCAAATGCTTTGCATTTTACCATGGAAATCTCTTCCACTGGTTAGATAATTAGTTATTACAAAAGAGACAAAAGTAGCCTTGTCAAAATTAATGGCAGGGTTTTTTCTCTCTTGTTTTTCAAATAAACTTGTCTATTGTAAATTTTGTCCCCTGTTCCTGAAGTTCTTTAATGGCAGGTGCCAAAATCTCAAGCGAACCTCCAATGAATTCATTTCAAAGTTGTGACTATAAAGGTTGCAGATTTACAAAAATGGAGGAGTTTACTCAACTGTCCCCAGGGATTACCTCATTCTGCAACTTTGCATACTCTGTGCCATTCCACGCCCCCAACCCCTTTCTTTGTTTAATTTACAAGAGCTAAAATCATTGGTCCTTACTAAAGCAAAACTCCCATTGAAGTCAAGGGAAATTTTGTTCAAAGAAGGACAACAGAATTTGGCCCCATGGTTTATGATTGCTGCAGATTAAGCTCTGCATTTAGCAAAGAAATTCAGGCAATCAATCTGGTGACTGTTACAGAAGAAAAAATGGCTGTTCTTTTTTTCTGTATCGGAATCTCTGTGCATCCCTGGGAGAACTCAGAGTGCCCCCTCCTCCACCTTGCATCAAGGCCACGATCTTTCAGTCAAAGGCAAGGTTCACTGTTCAGTGAGTTTAACAAAAGTGCACACACCCAAAGAGAATAGTGGAGACCTGAAGTGAAAAATGCACAAATTCTGTAGCTGTACTGAGGGGAAGATCAGGAGGATAGTTAAACATTAGAGGGAACATATCCCATCGTCCTTCCCAGTGGTTCTATCACTAGATTCAAAGCATGCCCAGCTCCAGCTAAGGCAAGTGACTGGAGTTGCCTGTATAAGAACATAGTATCTCCCTGTTAACTACTGGAACAACCCTGACAATTTTTAAAGTATGTTAGATCAGATCCTCAGCTTGTGTAAATCCGCACAGCTCCAGTGGTGTCAATAGACTTATGCTGATTTACACCTGCTGAGGATCTGGTCCACTGTATTCTTTTCAATAATAGGATTTTATACATTGACCCAGTTTTTTACACATATGCATGCTTAAATGCCCTGATGCAAATCCTGTATAGTGTGCACTCAACTTCAATGTAGGCACGCATGGGCTATGATTGACAATGTTGTCTGATGTTTGGATCAGAGGATTAGGAGTCAGGACTTCTGGATTTTTTTAATTTTTTAATTTTTTTATTTTTTAATATCCCCAGTTCTGCCGCTGACTTGCTGAGATCCTTGGTCAAGACACTTAACCTTTCTCTGTTTATTTTACATACCTGGTTAATGGGAATATTAGTAGTTAACTATCTTAAATGGGTTCTGTGAGGCTTAATTAATTAAAGCACTTTGAGATCCTCAGAGGAGAAATATAAGGATAAGGAATTATTATTAACCGTGTTTTTTGTGAATGTTTTCTGCAGTGAGACACTAATGCAGTACACCCTTGGTACCCTTATGTGAAACACTCTGATATTTTTTTTCCCTGAAGAATGCAGATTCAGGTCAACAGAAACATTTTGAAAATTCAGAAAATTCAGAAATGTCAAAACAAAAAGTTTTGATTTTTTTTTCCAGTCTAAAGGGGAGTTAGGCCGCTTTCACAGAACTGAGGAGGAGGAGGTTGTAAGTGTGGTACCTCCCCTTATAACCAGGGCCGGCTCCAGGCACCAGCTTGCCAAGCAGGCGCTTGGGGCGGCCACTCCGGAGAGGGGCGGCACGTCCAGCTATTTGGCGGCAATTCGGCGATGGTCCCTCACTCCTGCTCACGACTTTTTTTTTTTTTTTTGCGCCGCTTGGGGCGGCAAAAAATCCTGGAGCCGGCCCTGCTTATAACCAGTTGTCCAGTGGCTAGGGCACTCACATGGGGGATGGGAGACCTTGGATAGAATCCCCCCACTCTGGAGCAGGGACTTGAAGCCAGGTCTCCCCCCTTCCAGGTGAGCATCCTAAGCATTATGCTATAGGCTTTAGGTGTTAGGGGGAGGGGAAGCTCCACTACTGCTTCCTCCTCACAAAATGTTTTGCTTGACCCAAACCCACATTTTGTTTAGACTTTCTTCGGAACTGCCAGCAAACTGAAATATCAGTTATTTGCACAGCTGTAGGACACACCCTACATCTAGTCAAGTCAATGACAAGGCTCCCTGTGACTTCAGTGTTTAAGGATTAAGCCGTTAGGTACGCTTTTTAATTGAGTCAATCGTAAGTAAATTCAGGGCAGGAGTGTCTGACCTACCCTAATAAACAGCCAGCCCTAGAATTCTTCCACAGTACAGGATTGGGCCATGGATGGACGTAAACTTTACTCCTCGAGGGCATTAAGATATTTCTCTTAGAGTAGTCTATATGGTCCAAGTATAACATACTGAAATAAGTAATGATACTAAAACTTTAGGAATATAGAAATATTGCAGTTTATAATTCCAGTCTGCTAAAGTTTTGTCTCTCTGCAAATGTGACTGCCATGTTAATGAATTTTGGTAACAGGAGACAAATTTTATTAATGCAGCATGAAAGCTCCCTGTTGCATCTTTTGTTCTGTAATACTGGAATTGCTAAGTGAACTTCACCAGCTGATATAACACACCATTTGCTGCACAAACATTCAGTTTCTGTTTATGAATTGCGGCTTTTTACAAAAAAGGCCAAATAACATAGAACATAGAACGGTTGTGATTTACAGTTGTCTGCTTTTTAAAACAAGGTAAGGCTGCTTAAAAATATACTGAGTAATCATTGGTGTGTTTACCAAACAAGACCCTGCATGTGGCCATTACAGATCAACATCTGCCAGTCATACCATCACCTCATAAATATATCTAAAAACTGTGTTTTCCTTTCTGGATAACACATTAATTAGCAAAGTTTGCCGAGTAACATATACTTGAGTGACAGCTGTCCAGGAGGTGCTATGTGAACTGGCATTTTCTGAGTGGCTCCACTGTCTTTTAAAAGATTTACAATTGAGTCATAAATAGGTTGAAAGCTCTTATGGGTTTTACGCAGAGCTTACAATTGTGCAGGAGAAACAAGGAAGACTCTATTTTTAGTATTTCTTTGCAGTTCCTGAAAGAAAATAACTGTCCAGTGCACCTGATAGTAGTAACTATGTTTAAATAAATATGATGTATGGAATCATTTAAAAAAAATAGGTGTTTTATTGTCTGATACGCAAACTCTGTTTTATTTTATTTAAGAGTCTCTGTGGTACATGCATGTTATCGAGAACTATTTGATGATAGATTTGGGGCCCGATCCTGTTGGTGATGATTCCAAGTGCATATTATTTCACATAGGCTCAGACCCATTGACAGGCTTGGCTCATAGTTTGCACTTTGGCCATTTATGCTGAACTACCATGATTACGCTACTTAGAACAACAACAGCAAATCCCGTTGCGGTCATTTAACCACAAACTGTACTATAGTGCTAAACTGCCAGCACTGTGTTAGTTCGGGGGCTGCCAGCATTTCCATCATAGACCCCTAATTTCAGGGCTTTATAAGTCCGCCATTAAATGTGCTCCAGGCTGAAACTTGCATGGAAGGTCTAAGTACTGGAGTAAATTAAAACTTTTTTTAGGCCTATGCTCAAAAATAAAAATCATGGTTTAGTAATAATTTTAAAACATGTTTGCTACTATTGGATGTCTTATGGGACTGCTGTATTTGTTTTGTTTTGAATGAATTTTTGCAGGCCTTTGGTCTCTTCTTTGGGTTTTGATTTTGTGTATATTAACTAAAACCACACACATCTTACTATGGTACACTTCTTTACAAATCTGCCCTTTCCCTCCTTCTTTGTATGAATGCTGTATTTACTGCTAGGATAGTGTCCAGAATAAAACAAAACAAAACAAAACCCTTAAAAGAAATTTGCTAATGGAGATTTTTTATACAGTACTTTGTGAATGAATGAGAATATATCACTGTAATGTCAGAGTATGAAAAAACTTGCATTTATTTGTGATTTAATACCCTTAGAATGAATCAACTCCACAAATACAAAGTATTAATAATAAACAACAACAAATGAATATCACTTTCACATAGTTGCCATGTTACTAGCGTTTATGCTGTCATGAAGCTTCACTGACATGCTTCCATATGCCCCTTCCCATCCAAAAAATCGGGACAGGGGCTGGGGGGTAATAGGTGCCTATATAAGGCAGAGCCCCTAATATAGGGACTGTCCCTGTAAAATCAGGACACCTGGCTACCCTAATGCACCCCTACCACCACCATTTTACTAACACAATAATACCTTTGTGGCATTGGATGCACACAGGTGAGGGAGCTGTTCCCTGCAATGTTCATTTATCTGTGTATTGATTTAGACCCTGATCGTGCGAAGTGCTCCATACACACAGTAGTCTCATTGAAGTCAAGTAGGGAGCAGCTTTCATGAGAGGGGTCTAAAGTTAATAAACTGGTTTGAGCACAGATCACTAGAATTTTTTGTGCCCTTTCTAGGGAGTCTGCTTGTTAGAGCAGCTCACACCATTGTCCTGCTAGACCTTTCTTTCTCCTCTGCTGGTCACGTGATGCCTACTATGGTAATAAATAATCACCCGATTTAAAAAAAAAAATACGTTTTTCCTCCTTGATGTGAAAGCTTTAAACATTAGGTGTTTTTAGGGCATTTGAGACAGTACCCAAGCATCTGCCTCACTGAAGTGTAATAAATGC